TAGTTTAGCACAGTGAGAGGCATAGTACTTAGCACAGTCTAGCACAGTCTTTCAGCACAGTCTGGCACAGTATTGGCACAGTATTTGGTGCAGTTTTGGCACAGTATTCAGCAAAGTATTCAGCACAGTTCGGCATAGTGTTCAGTACAGTCTAGCACAGTTTTGGCATAGTATTTTCTTGCTATAGCCTATATTTTCTCTGGATGTTATATAATAACTTCGGATGTAACTTATATCATCGTGTAGCTGATATTCTTGGCTACAAAGTTACTTAATGATATTTTTTACTATGATCGCTTCTTGACATACTTTACTTAGAAGTGAATGTTTATAATGATTTTTTCTTCTCTAAAATATCTATACTAAAATAATACAATATAACAGTCATGGGACATGTCACCTTACAATGATCTACTAGTAAAATTATTCATATAACAATGCATTGATATAACTTTTTTTTAAATACTTTAATGAATAAAATAGTAAATGATATTTTATTTCTATAAAAGTTTTATTTTTCGAGCTTTGTGCTTTTATTTTATATAAAAAACCTCTACATTTATTTTACTTTTTACTAAATAAAATTAACCTGAAAATTGCAATTTTTTAGGACAAACATCAAGATTCTCTTTTAAATACTGTAGAACAAATTAAATTTTATCTTGTTAATAGTTACAAAGAAAGAGCATTACAAAACTTATTAATAGTAGAAAGGCGCTTTAGTATAGGTTTTAGAATATTTGCTAGAAGGTACCTTATTAATAAGACAAATTAAGAAGTTAATTCAGAATCAAAAGTGCTACTTTATTTGAAAAGAATAGGCAAGAATTTGACAACTAATTGAGTGCTACCAAAAGATAACCCAATTTCAGTTTTTTAACTTAATAACTTATCAGTTTCAATTATATAAATTTTTTAAAGATTGAGTTTAGTAAATTGTAAGCTTAAAATGCTGAAGTCAGGTTTTTTTTGGCACACCCAATTCAGATAGTAAGTACTGTATAGCATGGCCTAATATTTTACAAGTTAGCCTGTATATATAGGTATTATAGTCAGAGAGATCCTATAGTTAGTATAGGTATAAATTGCCCCAGATATTTTATATTCCAAGTATGTCATTTTTCAATTTACTGTCTTTAATACCTCAGTACAATATATTCTAGCCTCTAAAAATTCTGAGAAGTATTATAATAGAGGTTTTTTTTAGACTACTCTATATAGTAGGGGTACTTATATACAACAAACATTACTAATTATTTAAACAATTTTAATCGTATTTATTAATTTTGTGTTTTAAAGTCTTGAATATTAGATTAACAAGATCTATACAAAAAATTTGTTATATGAATTTAAAGGAAAGTTGTATATTTAGTAAAATTTTTTTTGTTTATACATGATCGTACATGAATAATAATCTAATGCTATTTTATTTTTAAGTATTCTTTTTCTGGTTATTTCTCCAATATGTTTTAACTCTTTTTTTAGTCTAATTAGAAGAGACAGTTTGAAGTTCTGTTAATACTTTTAAAATTCAGTATCAGGTATACAGTCTCTAAATCTAAATAGTTGTACAAGTATATTTTTCTCTGTATCTGTAGTAATACAACGTGACTGTGTTAATGGTTGTTGTAATACCTTGTTGAACAATCAGTTCCTAAGCAGAATTATCTGCTTGATTTCTTTTGTTTTTTATATTCTCAAGATTAAGTTCAGAAGAAGAATAACAATTTATATTTCATATATGATGTTTAGAAGTTCGAGGTTTGGTCTTATATATATCCTCCTCAAGCACTTCTTGAAAGTATAATTTACTAGTCTCATAAAAAGAAAGAATATTTCTAATACCTTCTTCATTAATTTCTAGTACATTTTCGAACAAATAGTGTTCTGTAGAATTTGGATGATTAAAGACAAATGTTAACTTTTCAACTAGAGACTATAGTGAATCTTTGCATGACTTGATTGCATGAGTATTTTGACTCATCACAATATCATCAACATTTTTAGCAAGAAGCATTGATAGACGATCTCTTTCACTTTGGGCTGCTTTGATTTTTAACATCATAGTTTGCTAGTAGTAACATTACCAGTAATATTTTACTTAATGAATTTTACACCATATATTTTAATTACTTCATCAAAGGCGAAATAATGTCCTTCATTTGTGAGATTTATTAAACATGCTAGCTGTAATAATTTTCACAGCTGTAGGTCATTATAAACTTGTAACAAAAAGTGCACCACAGAAGTTGCGTACTTAAACTTTCTAGCTATATAAAAAAGAGGTGCAAATATAGCTAAATTTGCTATTTGCATTTTGTAATTTCCTCTTCTAATTCCAATTTTATGGTCTATAAAATACCTCGCCTAATGGAAAAAGAGGTACTACATCTTCATTAAATAATTATCACTATTTAAAATATCAATCATTGTTTTATTTTTTTTTTTGACATGCTGACATAATGCAATTCTGACTGTGACCCAAATTAATTCTAAAACATGACATGTAGCTCAATAATCTACTACATGCTCGAATTTGTCCAAATATTGTATTCTGAGAGATGCTACAAGGTTAAATATTCTATATCCAGAAAAGATTGTAATTAAAGTGCAGCATATGTCTTTCGACATATGCTATTGTCTCAAAAGAAGATGAATGTCATTATAGGTTTCCTTATAATAGATCAATCTTCCAAAAATTGCTTAGTTGCATACAATATAGAGGCGCTTATCACTACTTTGAGACAAGTCTTCATGATATATTTTGCATGCTGTATGAACATTATTGTTGCAATTTGGTGGATCACTAAGTTTCAATATTACAATTTTTGGTGGTAATAGCCGATAACCTATAGGTATTTGTTCAAAGATTTCAGAGTATATATCTTCTATTTCAAAATTATTTATGTGATTATCTAATATTTTATTTAAAATAGTTTCGTATATTATCAAAATATCATTTGTAGGTAAAGATTCTCCAAATAATAGTTGATTAACAGATTCATAATCTTCAGTTAAAGAATCAAATAAAGTAGGAAGGATAAACTGGAATACTATTCATAATGTTGCATGTGAAGTCTGTCACGTTATATCAAAAATATTGCCATATGAGAATGTAGATGCTTTAAAGTTAATATTGTCAATTACCACCAAATTCCATATATTAGGTTCTTCGATTAAGTTATTTCTAGGATCTATATATTGCATTCTTAATTTTTCAAGATGACTTTTATGCTACTTGGTATGTGAGATAACATGTACTGAATAAAGAATCTCTCGAAGATGTGGAAGTAATTTTGGATTTTGACAAACTGATGATATGATATTTGAAAACCAGATTTTTAATTTAGAAAAAGTAATCATAAGTAGCATTGAAATTAATAACATAGTAGTTTTTGATATTTGATCTATATTATATGATTTTAAAGGAAGTTCGCGTTGAAGCCTCTTATTATTAACTATTTTTTGTCTATGCTGTTGCAGTACTGTAAGAAGGGCTTAGAAAAAGTTATGAATAGCAGTAGGCAATGCTTCAAAGTAGTCTTTATATGAGCTTGGATTTTCTAATTGATTTTTATTATTTTTGACTTCAGAACATGAATATAAAATTTCTTGTCCTGGCTTTTCTCCCATTGGTGAGGCCTTTTCTGAAGTTAGATAAGTTTTTTTCTTAGTTAATCTATTTAACTTATTTATTTCAATCTTTTTTATTTTTATTGCCGTCGTAACAAGAAATTGACTTGGAGGTTTTACTATTTCCAATTCTGATGAATTTTTATTTATTGTTTCATCATTAGAAATAGTTAACAATGGGAGTAGTTGCAATAAAAATTTTTCTTGCAGCTTATTATTTTCGTACTCTGCTACTGAAATTATTCACTTTCTGATAAGTTTTAGAGTGCTATTTATATCATCACAATGCTTTCTCTGATTAGTACACGATACATATGTACTGCCTTTATGGGGTCTAATATATAGGTGTCCTCTATTTTGTTAGAAGCATTCTAAGCAGATATAACGTGCACGATAGCTAGATGATGATTTTTTTGTAATATATCACTTAGAAAATACAGAACAGTCAAAAACACCAATATAAGGTACTTGAATATTCCATCCATTGACATTCCATGAATGTTTTGTACAACTATTGCCATGGCTAAAGAAGTATTTTTTCTTATTACAGAAAGGGCAAAAACGAAAATGAGTAATGCTTTTATCAATTGATCATAATTGTTTCATTCCTGGGCTATAAAGTTAGTTCTGATCAAATTGGAAATAACTATAACAAATGCCAAGTTGAGAAATATTATTATCATTTTCAGCTGCTTGTCGTTGTCACTGTAGATTTGTAATACTATTGCAGCACTTTTTAACTACATTTGTATCTATTTTCTACATTCCTACTATTTGTTGCAATCGCTATAAGTTTGTTGTACTATTGTAGCACTTGATTTTGCTTTGAAAATTATCAATAATTACACATGGTGTTAATTTCAGAATTTTCATAGAAATACTTTTAATTTCTATATTTCTTTCATCATCTAATCCTAAAAGAAGTTCATTATAAGAATCAGACTCAATCTTATCCAAATTAGAGTTTTCACTTTCATCATCATGTAATAAGGCTTGTGCACTTTCAAGAACTATTGGACTAATAGTAAACTCCTCTTTATAGTTTTCTTCTAGATCCAATTGTTTCAAGTAAGACAAATTAATAGTAAAGTCTTCTTCATAGTTTTCTTCTAAATTTAATTCTTCCAAATAAGATGAATTGACGGTAAAATCTTCATAGTTTTCTTTTGAAATATCCAATTCTTCGAAGTATGTAGGTTCAAAATTAGTCATTTTTTATATTATTATTATGAAATTTAATTGTGAACTAAGCAATAGATAAAGTTTATTTACTACTTCACAAGTTAAACGGATTGTGTTTTACAAAATTGTGAAGACTATAATATTATGTTTTAGTAGTCTCAAGGTGAGAATATTTATACTTTTTTTTCATTAATTTTAATATTTTACAATGAATTAATATACTAATAGCATTTTCAGAATGTAATACTATAACAATTTGATTAGTCATTGAGCTATTTTTAATTTCAAATCATTTTGCTAAAACAATATAGGTCACACTAGAATGAAATGCATTGTCAAAATGAAGTATATTTATTTAGACAACTACTTATTTTATTAATTGTAGCATAATATATTATTTTAAGACAAAGGCTGATTTTATGACATATTATAATCTTTATTTGATGTGCTAACCTTTAAAGAATTTATTAAATCAAAGAATCACAATATCAAAAGATAACATCAAAGAATCGTTGCATCAAAGAATCACTATATCAAAGAATTGCTATATCAAAGGATGGCTATATCAAAGAATTGCTATATCAAAGGATGACTACATCAAAGAATTGCTTCATCAAAGAATTCGATACATGACCTTATATAATATTACATTATTTTATGTTTATAGGTATTATTTAAAACTATACATGCTACTTTGAAGGTATACAACTTTTTCACTATTTAGTAGTATTTATTGTATAATAACAATAATTCAAAGAAGTAAAAAAATAAAATAATTTAATATGTTTAAATTAGATACTTTATTTATTGTAATATTTATTTTACAAACGATTATGCTCAGTATTATATTTCATCAATACAGTGTTACTATTATTATTTCTAGCATAAAGAATTCTAATATAAACAAAATATGACATTAAAAATTATATGAACAACGAAATCTAAACTATACAATGAAATGTAAACTATACAATAAAATATAAACTACATATGGAAAATACGAATACACATATAACAAAACACAAATTACACAAGTGTAATCCTGCTTAGATCTATTTGTTGTATGTTACAGTCAAATCTTTCTAAATGCAAGCCCTTGGAACTGAAGATAAATATACGTTTAGAAAAGTATGTGATTATGAAAAATTCAACTAACAATCAAAAATAAAAATATACATGTGATTAACTCAAACTGCTCTAATTGCAGGTTCTTAAAGCTATAAGATATGTATATGAAGAGAGTATAAATTCTGTATAGTAAAACCTCTATAAGTGCACTCTCTCTAAATGCACGCTCAAATTCAGGCTTACTATATAGATAACCTCAATAAATGCATTTTTTTTAAGTGCACATTGTTAAAGCTTAGTTTCAAGCATTGCACTTATAGAAGTTTTACTGTATTTGTTGATCAAATATCATGCGCATGTACTTATAAAGGATACAATATGCTTGATCTCAAAAACTTATGTACATATGAAGGTAAAAAGGTATTACTTAGCAGTAAGTTTGAACTTGTGACTATGTGAATTTAAAGGAATGGGTGCTACTTATACTATAGAAGCTACACTTAGGAAGGTTGACTGCATTATGCTCGAACAAGAAATGTTATCTATATTTTACTACAGGCAAAAAAAAATATATATATATATTGAATTAGTAAAGTTGTAAGCTATAACTTTTAAATCTTTTAATCAACAAACATTTCCTATAGCGTTAGTAAAATAGGTTGAAATATATTGCAATTACGTAATTAGGAAAGTGAAGCTAAGAGATCGCATTATTAAAGAAGCGAGCTGAAACAAATCAGAAAATGATTATATTGTTAGGGAAGCAAAGCCAAGAAATTATGTTGCTAGGAAAGTGAAGCCAAGAAATCATGTTATTAGGAAAGTGAAGCCAAGAAATTATATTGTTAGAGAGGTGATGCTAAAAAAATTGAGCTGTCATGAAGGTAGTCATTATAAAATTGATCAGAACTGTCTATATTGCAATATATATTACAAGAGTTAGTATACTCCAGATTCAAACGAAGATTTTCTTCAAACTAGAAAGTATTAAGAACTAAATCTTTGTAATTTAATAAAACATTATATAAATTATATTTTTGGCTTAATAAGTTACAGTCAAACGGTTTTACAAAACTTAAGGTTATTATAGAAAAAACCTTTGCTAAAGGTAAAATTTAATATAAAAATTGAATGATCGACATCTAATTTATCATATGAACAACATTTGAAACCTCTGCAAAAGGACATGTCCTGTGACTGATAAGAAATAACTAAATACTAATAAATATAACTAATAATATAACTAAAATACAATAATAAAATGAAAATAAAATAACTAAAAATCTATCTTATAACACTAGTATTGCAGAGCTGGTTAACTTCGAAGCAAACCTACTAGAGTGGTCTGTACCTATTTTACAAATTCATCTAGCTTAGACCCTTGTAGATGTTCATACAACTCTAGGTTCCACCATGGTCCTCCACTGGTTAGTTGACCTAGTTCTTTTCCAGTATTCAGCCAGTTCTAGTTATCCTTCACCTAGAGATCTCGAAACTTTCTACCTTTATTAGACTGAGTTTTCTTTTTAGATCAGACTTTAGCTAATATAGTCCTGTCAGAAGGCCATACTACTTCACTAACTTAAGATTTCTACCATGCAGATCTTCTGCCTATATATCCTATCAAGATTTATTTGTATAATATTATACTACACTTCTAAGTTCTGATTAATTTGGTATAACTTAATTTACAGAGGTACACCCCAAAAATAAACAGAGTTTATTGTAACATATTACAAGATCTAAGAAATTATTCAAATTCATTGACAATGAGATTTGAACCCCAGACCTATTGCATGGTAGTCCAACAATCTAACTACTATACTTGGTCACTGGACCTTATCTATTGATCTTTTATTTAATTTAACTCCTATATATTTAATACAAACTTACTTTTCCATATGAGAAAAACAAAAACTTAGAAAAGAATTTATAACCAACTCAAAATCATATCATCAACTCTTCCCGTCGATCCTCTGACTACTTTTTTCCGAAAAGAAAACCTGACCTGCGAAAACACTTTTCTATTATACAGATAACAATA